ATCTACTGCGGAAACGCGGGACCGTAGGAAAAGTGGCAAAAAATTATGGAGCTCGCCACGTGAAAATATTAAGATTGAGAAAAAATATAGCCTAAAAGGTTATTAAAGACAAAGGAAGTCTGCCAAAAAATATTACGGTCCGATATCTTGTTTAACTTAGTAGCAAGTAGCGCTGCAGCCACTATTACAGAAGCGCTTAAGGTATTAAAATTGAATGCAAATCATTAGACAGCGAGGGGAAAAATTGTCAAATTGAACGCAAAGTCATAATAAAAGAAGAAAAAGCCATTTTGATCAAAATACATGTGCGAGAGTGGTAGCATTTTGCCGGATCGCACGACAACCGGACCGTTGCCTTTTGGGATATGTTAGCCTTTACAGAATGCAATAACAAAACAAATTTTTAAGATTTAATTGAAGGTTAGTTGGTCTGACAAGACTAAATTAATCGCTTTCAATCAGGTGGCCAGGCATGGTATTGGATCAAAGACTCAAATTAAGCCTTAGCGAATCATGTAAGGCAAACCGCGAACCACAGTGATCGGTCAATAATAGTTTGGGGTTGTATTTCAAAAATATTGTTGGTCCCTTAGTACGCATTATGCGTAAAGAACAGTATCTGTTCATATTTCAACAAAACTTGCAAGATGTAGTCGAAAAATGAGAGTTTCTGCTGAAAAATCACCCAAAACATACTGCATATGTTCGCAACGACTGGATGCAAAAGCAAAAATTCGCTATTTTGAAATGACCTCCACAATCCGCGGATATGAATCTCGTCGAAAATTTGCGAAATCAACTAAAAGCGCAGCTTACTAAGTATGCAAGTCCGTCCAATGGAGTACATGAGTTATGAAAGCAAACCAAGGATATATGGGAGGCTATACCTCCAGAATTTTTACAGAAATACAAATAAGGTATGCCAAATAGCATCCAGGAACTAAAAAAAGCAAAAGTATATTGAACATTGTGTTAACAATTCTTTTTTTGTGTGAAAGTTGTCAAAAAGTTATTAAAAATATATAAGTGCAAAACTGTAACATATGCCTTAATTTACATTTTTGTCTGCTGGTTTTATTATTGTTGTTGGATTGACTTCAAATCTTTATGAGAGACGGAGTAGGGGTGTACCAATAAGAATATACAACAAAAGTATGAAAGTCGTTAGAAGTTGTAAAGATAGCGGTGGCTGAAATTAAAAGGGTTACACCATGTTACAGTTTTGCTCGTCACTGTAAGTGCTTGTATGAAAAATGAGCAGGAAAAAATGTTACTCATACGCCGTGTACATCTGAAAAACTTATCTCGAAAACTCGAAATTTAATCGATTTTCGGAATCAGCGAGCAATTCTATATAGGAATTGGATATGTAGTGGCGTCCGTTGAAATTTTTTTTTTTGTGTACGTGTTGCCTCTCTTCGACTGCACGCAGTTGAATCATTCAGAGTCACGGCGGGAGTCATGTTGGTGTAACTAACACATATTTACATATATATAATAGGCGGCATACACCGTGCGTCTGACTCGTTAGTCGGTTTGGATGTATTTGTGAAAATAAATATGTGTTAGTTACAGCAACATGACTCCCGGCATGACTCTGAATGATTCAACTGTGTGTAGTTGAAGGCGAGTCAAAACGTACACAAATGACTCGCGAGTCAGTCTATGGAGCCTATTATTCCTAAAAAAATAAAGTAGTTTTAAAAAAGGTTTATACATTGAAAAATGTATGAAAACGTCAATTTATGAAGCTCTTTACACCTACTTTATTTTTTTATGAATAAGTCCAAAGGTATACAAAGTTATTTATTTTGTTCATAGCTAAATGGTACATAGTTTTAATCTTCGTTTTCTGCATAAACTTCCGCAGTCTAGTTATCACAGGCTAGTAGAGTCCAACTAAAGTAACATGAAGTTAGAGAACAGGGTGAAGCGATGAGTGGAACTGGAGGCAAAGATCGGTAGCTTAAACGCTTATGTATCGATCTACCGGCTAGCCATGCCAAAGGGTCAGAAGGAAATCGTCTGTTCACTTGATTGACCGTACATTGAGCTATAAATTAGTTTGAGCCCTACAAGACCCCTGGGTGGATGGCCTATGCCCGATTGTACTTCTGAAAGAACGGGATCTGCTAACCTCTATCCTAACCAATCGCATGCGGAAAAGTCTGACACTAGCATATCTCTCACAATCGTCAAGCCAGTGTCAGATTCAAACCCGAGATAGGTAAAAACGAGTATTCAGAGGCGAATTTTTTTCGCCCAATCAGCCTCATAACGTTCGCTCTCAAGGCGATGGAGAAAATCCTAGACAACCATAAATCCTAATAAAAAATATGTATTGCATTAATATTAATCTTTCCGAAATTGTAAAAAGTGATAAACGCCGGTTGCATGTTTTTAGTTAATATATATAATCCTGAAAAAATATACATATTTGAATTGATTGGATGTAAGTCCTATGAGTAGATTTATGCAGAAAAATCGCCCCTTTTTTTGAGTGTGCGTTACATCTACAAATAATCGATTATTGGAATGATATGTTCATCACTAACATACTTTTGGCACAGTTTTCTGATGGCGACGGGATTGTTGAATATTTGCAAATCTGCGGAAATGTGGAAAGGTATAAATTATCGAATTTAAAAATTAACATTTAGTATTCAATACAGTGATCGGACATTAAGAAAATTCTGTGTGGTAGAATCTGGGAAAAAGTGTGGTAGATATAAAAAAATGTGGTAGATCTCTGGGTTTGGATCAAACTTTATACGAAAATTAAAAAAATTCTGCAAGGCTTTTCGAACATATTTTAAGAGATTTCTGCAACCTTGCGAAGTGCTGCCAGCTTTTATTTTATCACACCACGAAGCAGCGAACAAATGTGGCACGTTCCAGAAACAGCTAATTGGCATTTGCCGATTTTGGCAATTCTCAAGTAAAAGTAAACAACGCCTCAGAAACCTTAGATGCACTTAAATTTGCTAATACTTTCACCCAAGTCGCCGTTTTGTAACATTTTCGCTATTAATCTTTTAACACAATAAAACCGCGCTTCCTGTCGAAAAATTTATTATTAAGAAAATTTATTATTTTACAGTTTATTTTATCCTCCCATTCGGCCTTGTTTACTTCTACTTGAGAAATTTCATCGTCGACGGTAATGCGGAATCTTGTATTATATCATTCTATGGTATTTAGTGTTGGACAATTTTTGCTCTTAACATTAAGAAAATTATATCATGCAAAAACGCGAACATGTGGTAGATTTCATACCTTAGTGGTAGATGTGATAGATGCTCAAAAAGTAGCAGATCTACCAAAATGTGGTAGAAGTCCGATCACTGGTTCAATAGATATTTCAGGAAAGTTGATATGCCCGCAGCCCAAGGGAGTATTATCGATGCAGGCAATACAAGCTCAACTAGTTCCACCGAAGAGCAGCGTCCGCCCATCTGAGCAATTGTCAAAAACTGCTTTTTTATTCAAAAAGTTGTTTATTGAAACTACATACCTTATTTTTTGAAATATGCAAATACCCTTTAATTTGTTATTGAATGTAAGAAATATATACCTATTTTGATCTCTTTTTTGTTAAAAATCGAATAAGACATTCAAAGAGTAGCCTTTACACTTTTAGCTTTTTTACCTTACGCATATTTTATTTATCTCTTTTCAGCTCTTTTTTTTGTCCATTTAGCTGGATCGCTGAAATAAATATGGCAACACTGCACTCTACCAGAGGGTCAATTCCCGTTCTGCGTTATCGTGAAGTGATAAAAATAACACTTTCACCGCATTTATTTCGGTGTTAATTTTATACTTTTCACTTCATTTCACGATAACGCAAAACGGGAATTGACCCTCAGGGCACATTGAATAGGTGGCAGCAACAAGGTTGTAAGTTTGATTTTCTTTCATTCGAAGTAGCTCTAATTAAGCCTGATATACAGTTCAATGCGAGCGTGAGCGTGAACTTTCACAAAGCCAAAAAATTCCATTTGTATTCTTATGGACGCTCACCACACACATCTGTCAAAACTTGTCGTTCACATGCGAATGCTTTGCGTACGCGCACAGTTGAGTGTGACCTTGAAAAAAGGCATATTATGCATTTTAAATTAATTTTTATTCTATAATTCTGAAATGGCGCTAGGTCAATAACTCCGCCGGCACCTGTGGTGTCAGCGCACCAACTCAGCCACCACAGTACCAATCCATGAACGAAAGACACAAGATCACGTAAGAACAAGAGAGTGAAAAAGTCGATTTTTTTAGCGGGTTCTACGCCATCTTGTTTCACTGGAAAACGAGCGAAAAGTAAACAAAGCAAAGAAAACAACGAAAACCAAAATTAGCCAAAATTATTGTCAGTCACTTTAAACGCACAATTTAGGTAAAATGATGCAACAAAATGCTTTAAAATGTGTTGTCATGTTGAATTAACTCTTCTTTACTTGAATAAAAGTGTAAAATAGTGGTGCTTGTGATGTAAACAAACGCTCAGCTGACGAACCCGCTTTCGCAAACTTTTTTCTCAAAACCAGTTACAAATACAACGTTGTTGTTGTTGTAGCAGCATACAAATTCACCAAAGACTTTTTGGGGAGTGTTGCTGGAGTGACAGTCCTTGGCCAGATATAAATCTGGGTCGTTCCGGTTACGTAGACCCGAACGTCGCGTCCTTACGTGATCTTGTATTTTTGGTTCATGGTACCAACGCGTCATACAATACAGTGGTGTCATCCCTATTATTTCTTAAATTTTAGGAGCTGAGCAACGCTTGTACAAAGAACGTAAATGCACATTTACGTTCCTTGTCTCAACCTTTCAGATACGGTCAAAATCGTCACGGCACATTTTCAAAGTAACGAGTTGTCTCATACATTTACGTTCTTTGGAAGCTTGGAAATTGTTGCGGTAGGCGTTTGGTACCTAAAAATAAATGAAGGTGGCAACATCGATGGGAACAGTTTCTGTCAGTGCTTCCGATCAAAAAAAAAATTAAATTATTCAAGCTGTCAAATTCACGATACTCAAAGAAAATAGAGAAGCAGTCACCTGGAGAATTCGGTCATTCATCATAATTCTGTTTTGAAAAATTTATTTATTAATAGTTTTTTATATATCCACCATAATTCGGGATGAGTATTTGCAGCCTTAGGGGCTTGAATGTGCGTTTCTGTCGGCAGGCCTACATTCTGGCCCATGTGCGGGCAGGAGTTTCGCCTATGCCGGGTCGCTCCAAATTGAGGTTAAATTTGTGTGAGTGCAGTAATCTGCATGCAATCAATAGTAATAATCGAGGATATGCAGTGAATGCAACTGCAACCGCGAGCGCACGTGAAGAACTAAAAACACTAAAGCCATGTCTACTTGCAGTCATAACGCCGTCACGCGGTGCCCACAACAACTTATATCAAATGGTAAAAAAGCGTACACTAGAAGCACGCACTAAATTGCAGCATAACAAATTTCCCAATAATCAAGCATGTGAAGAACCATTAAAGAAGCACTCATCTGCATGCAATGATCAAAGCGAAAGTACAATGTGCTCATCTCCATCTTTCGGTTCCTCCACCAAGCGACAATCATCGCAATCCTCATCATCCACATCCTCATCCACTTTCTGCAAACCTCAAAATGAAAAAACTGCAAATGATTCTTGTCCACCTAAACCAGAAAAACCGGATAAAACGGTCAAATTAATTTTTTAAAATATTTCTTTTCCAGCGAATTGAAATAGTTAATTGTATTTTCTTGTATTTCATTATTGTATTTACTTACTACAGACAAAAATCTGCCCAAAAAATACAGAATTACTTCAAGCGAACGACTGCAATGTAAGTAAAAGAAAAAAAGGAACTTGTGATAAAAAACCATGTGACGGTGGCGGCGATGGTTCTGAAGGTGGCGGCGATGGCGCAGGTGGTCGCGGTGGCGCGCGTGGTTCAGACCTGGGTAATGATGAAGCAACCCGAAAAACCAAAATGCTGCTAGCTATGCTAGCCGCCCTAGGACTCGGTGGTTTGGTATGAAAAAAAATCGCATGTGGAAGACAAATCATTAACATAAATAATTTCCTATTTAAATAGCTTCTATGGTTATTGACGAGACGAACTCGTAAGAGTAGCGAGAGTACAGAATGTGGACCAGTTTCCAAGAGTTTCACAACAGGTAAAGTCGGTGCTCTTTTAGTGTTTACCATATATCATTTTTAATTTTAATGTTTCTAGTTCCTGCGAGTTCAGCTGACTTGCCAAAACATGTACCATATTTGTTAATCGGTGGTGGAACTGCATCTTTCTCAGCATTCCGTGCAATAAAGTCCAATGATCCGCGCGCAAAGGTGTGTTGTAGTTTATTTATTATATGATTAGTATTAAAAATATATTTCAACCCTTCACTTATCAGGTACTAATGATCACAAATGAAATGAGAAAGCCTTACATGCGTCCGCCACTTTCGAAAGAACTTTGGTATTCGGCAGAAAAAGGTGAAATTACAAAAGACTATCGTTTCAAACAGTGGACCGGCGCTGAGAGAAGGTAATTATTTCAAGACAGTTAGGGCTTTCACGCAACTGGAAAATCCCATATACTATATGNACCGGCGCTGAGAGAAGGTAATTATTTCAAGACAGTTAGGGCTTTCACGCGATAGTCGACCCTACGCAACTGGAAAATCCCATATACTATATGTACATATAAGACTTTCTGGTGGCATGACAATCGGAAACTAAAATTTTTATAACCATACATTTGAGATAATCGAAATTTTTGGTTCGATTGGGTATAGCAACCGAACTTCAGTTGGGTTGCAAGTGAAATGATATTACTGATGGCAACTGCCAACTGAAAGCTCGCAACTGACTTGCTATATTGGTAACTGCATTTTTGTGGGGACTGGGAAAATTTTGATTACGATTATTTATTTCACGTCATGAAAATGTTATTATATATGCTTCTAGTCTCTTCTTCGAGCCCGAAGAATTTTTCGTTGACCCCACTAAGCTAATGGAAACTGTAAATGGAGGCATTGCTGTGGCGCAAGGTTTCACTGTCAGAAAAATTGATCCCGTCAAACATATAGCAACACTATCCGATGGTTATGAAATCAGCTATGACGAATGTTTGATAGCGACGGGTATGTAATGCGAAATCAACGTACATACACATAACTATAATTAAATTAATACTTCCAGGCTGTAAACCGAAAAATCTCGATGTCTTCGAACACGCATCACCCAGTGTAAGAGAGAAGGTTATGATGTATCGTACTCCCGATGATTTTGACCGTTTGAAACGTTATGCCGATGAAAAGAAATCCATTACAATTGTGGGGAATGGCTTCACAGGCAGCGAGTTGGCCTGCTCATTGGCGAATTATGCCAAAGATAAAAAAGTGAAAATATATCAAATATTTGGAGAAGCTGGAAATATGTCAAAAGTGTTACCCGATTACTTAAGTAAATGGACCACTGCAAAGGTGGAGTCAATGGGGGTATGCGTTATGCCAGATACTATTGTCAAAGAAGCGCAACGCGATGAAACAGTTCTCAAGTTGTCGCTCAGTAATGGAAAGAGTATTTTAACTGATGTCGTGAGTATTAGCAATCACTTGTTTGAATGAGTTGAAATTATTCAATAAAATGTTTTGGTTTTTCTTTTCTTTTAGGTTGTTGTGTGTGTGGGTTGTGAACCAAATACAACTTTGGCGGCAACTTCCGGCTTAGAGGTCGATAAGAGTTTTGGCGGTTTTGTAGTTAATGCAGAATTAGAAGCTAGGCGAAATTTGTTTGTGGTAAGACCGTGACTATGTTGTTTTTATAATGAGATGTGATTTTATTGTTATATCTTAAAGGCTGGTGATGTGTCCTGCTTTTACGATCCGTTACTTGGGCGACGACGCGTCGAACATCACGATCATTCTGTGGTATCAGGCAGATTAGCGGGTGAAAACATGGTTGGAAAAAGTGAGTAATTTATACGACATTAATATTGATTTCAGAACGCATGATCCACTTACACAAGGTCTGATAAGATGAATCAAAAGAAAAAAGTTATTTTCTGGCTGATGTATGTAATTTTGGCGCCATGGCGTTCGCAAAAAGTTATTATGAGAAGCTTTCAAATTGCAGAAGTACACTCAGAGGTTTGACATTACCTGAGTGTCCTGAAGCTCACTAATTCAACAATGTCCCAGATTTGTTCAACAGTGATCCCACATTTAATTATAATTTTTGTACATGTCGACGTTTAAAGTACAAAACTGCGTATATTAGATTTGCTAACACAAGCTCTTGACTGAATCCTTATCCATTCATCCTGAGATATGCCAGCCAGAAATGCGATTGCTTTATAAAAAAGAGAACCATTTTGAAATA